ACCGGCCAAAGAGAGCCCCATGACTGCTCCTGTGTCAGAGAGGGCAGAGAGGAACAATCTTACCTGGAAGGAGGAGAGCCCCGGTACTTGTGAACATCCCTCATGACAACCCCGGCACACAGGGCCATTTGCCATTGTCTCTGCCCCTTTCTCCAGCCTCACTGTTGGTCTTCTCACCCTTGCCCTGGCTTCGGCCATACTAAACTAGTTGACGTTCTAGGAGCTTCTCACGTATGTTACTTCCATGTCTTTCACACGCTAGTCTGTCTGCTTGGGGGAGTTGTCCCCCAATTCTCCAGGAAAACCCCTTACATCTCTCAAGACTCCACTCAAGAAGGTCCTTATTTGGGAAGCCTGACACCGCTCCCAAACCCTGCATGCACCTGGGTTGAGTTATGGACTTTCACAGCCCCGGCCATACTGTTGACATTGCTGAACTTATCTCCTGCCTTGTAACTGACTTCATGGGTCTGTCTCCCCAGCTAAACCGTGAAATTCTTGAGCGTGGCCTGGAACCTAGCTCAGGAAGACTAAATATTAGACACACGACGGAAGCAGCGCGGCACCTGCAGCAGAAAGACTGCTGAGGAAGCCCTGGCGAGCAGGAGGGAAAACGTCCCCCGAGGAGGACAGCAGCCTCTCAGTTTGAGCTGATTGTTGTCATGAAGGGGTGTGGCCCAGAACTGCTGCATCTTTCAGTTTTCCCAGAGAAACCAGACATCTGTATTTTCACTTGGAAACTCAATTTCTTGATGTCTGGATTGGCACCTCCGGGACACGTCCTGGAGCACTTTGCTAGGCTTTGCAGGGCAGGCAGCTCGCCTACTAATCCTGACTCTGCTACTAACTGGTTGTGCAACTTTGAGCCAGTTGGTTAACCCCTCTGAGACTCAGTTTCCTCTTCTGTGAAATGACAATAATAATAATACAATAGTACTTCATGGTATTGTCATGAGGATTAAATGATGGTGAACTCAGGATTAAAGCATCTAGCACCATACTGGGTGCCTAATAGGTACTTATGAAATGCAGATTATTAATATCATTAGATAATTGCACATATAACTGTATAATTACGGCTGTGATAAGTGCCAGGAGAGGATGAGGGTGTCTAGGGAGTTCTGAGAAGAGCTAACAGGAGACTTGACCTAATGGAGAGCATCAAGAGGAGTTCCCCGGAAAATCACATCGGAGGTGAGGAGATAGATAGAGCGTCAAATGGTCTAGGGGACCTGGGGTCCAGGTAGAATCTACGGCAAGTAGGGAAGCTCTAAGGTGGAAGAAATCAAAGCCGAGAAGGGAAATGACCGCTGTGGCAGGCACTAGGATGGGCCCTGTTGAACCTTCTACAAAGATATCGATCAACCCAAGGTCCAATATCTTCATTTCTCCATTTAGAAAGCATCTGTGCTTACTACACTGTCCGACACTGCCCTGGGTGCTAAACAGATGTGATGAAGAACCAGCCGACAGCAATTTGATATCAAATTGTGTAATGTCCAGACTCAGGGCCAGGAAGAGATGTAAACGGTACTTCAGTAGCTCTCCAGGGAGCTAAGCTGAGCTGTGTCCAGTTCTTAGCCTTCCAGTGACCTCACTGGGTCCACAGAGAGACCCCAGAAGGTCCAGATGGAGGATCTAGAATCTGACTGACGTTTGTCCCCATTCATTGTTTTGCCTAGGGCAGACGTTTCTGTCTCACACTGCTTTCTTGGACCAAGGGCTGCAGCTGGGGAGTCCTGAGCTGCTGCCTTAAGGGGAATCCAAATGATGTCAGCACCGAGAGAACGGGCAGAGAGCTGTCTCCTCGGTGAGGACCCGGGAGGCCGCTTAGACCCTCACCAGAGGGAGGGCCTGGACCGCCATGAGCAGCCCTCACACCACCAGGAGACTGGCTGTCTCTTAGAAATCTTTGGTGGGAGGGTTCTTTCCAAATTTTTTAATTTCCCTATTTTAAATATGAAATTATATATGTTCCTTATAGAAAAACTGGAAAGTACAGATTAAACTAAAAGAGAAAGAAAGAGAGAGAGTGAGAGAGAGAGGGAGGGAAGGAGGAAAGAAGGAAGGATGGAAGGAAGAAAAGATGGAGGAAGGGAGGGAGGAAGAAACCCTTCAAATTCCCCAACCCAGCAATAACAGAGGCAGGTACAGCTCCAGGCCTCTCCTGAATGCATCTGCATATTGTACACTGGGTAGCCTGCTGTTTCCCTTAACAATTGTCCTCTGAACAGGTCATTATGTAAACCAATATGTATGTAAAAATTGTATGCATTGGCCATAAAGTGTTCCATTTTATGACTATACTATAATTTGCTTAACCAATCCTTGACTTTGAATTGTTAGTTTCTTCCCAGGTTCTCCCTATAATAAATAATGCCTATCTGGGGAGGCGCCATGGGCATAAAGTGGAGGCAAAGTCTATTCAGATTCTCTGCCCTTTTTTTGCAAAGTTAGGACCCTGGCTCTTGTTAGCAAATGAAATGTTGTCATCTCATTTCATGCTCAAGCATGCCTTCTCAACGACGACCCTGATATCACCTCCAAGGGGGTGAATACTAGTTCTTGGAGCCAGAGAGTGAAGAAAATCTTACTGTTTTAGTGTGTAAAGCACAAATATATATAGACTACATAAAATAGATGGACAGGATATCTGTGATATTAAAATTGCATGAGAGTTGCGGGGAGGAGTGGAGATCAGGAAAAAAATATCTAAAAGTCTCCTTAGGGGAACAATAATGAATAAAAGGTTGAGAAGCACGGTGCTACAGGGGTTCAAGTTCACTCAGACAATATGATGCTCCTCCTGAGTAGATGGATTCTTTCATCCTGACCGATGAACTCTAGCCTCCAGATGTCAGTGTGCAAGGGGCAAATTCTGCACTGAGGTAAGCGATGTGTACCTTTTCTCCTCATTTAATGATGAAGGATCAAGCTCGTCTATGTGAGACAAGACTCAGAAGACATGAAAGGTGCAATTCCTTCCCTCAACACATGCACGCCTGTCGGGCCGCTGCGTCTCCCCCGAGGCTGCAGCCCCAGCCCTTCCCCTGGAGAGCGTCAGGGCATCTGAACGGGGCCCAAGGCACCGCCACAGATTTAAGACCGGGACAGTCATGCTCCTTCTCATCTGGAACTACTCCGTAAACCAGCAAGTGAGGCGGTGAATTTATACTCATAATATCCTCATTAGCTCCTTTGAGTTATGATTAGGTTTTCCCATTTGGACTTTTTTCCCACAGATGATAGAAGTCTTAATATGCCAATAAAATACATCTAAGAGACTTTCAGAGGGAGATCTCAAAGCCCTTTATAAACATTAGCTCATTAACCCTCCTCACACCCTGAGAGACAGGCAGCTGTCACGTCTTATTTTCCCATTGGAAACGAGGGAAGCTGAGGCCAGGAGATGAAATGCTTCTCTCCAGGCCTGCGGGAGGGTGTGGCGAGAAGAAAGGCTTCGCCCTGACTTCTGTCCAGCTCACTTAACACGCCAAGGGAAGGAGATATGTGAGGACCTACTACGTGCCAGGCGTTGGCTTGCATTAGTCAATGTTTAATCTTTTTCACATTCCTTTTCAGGTTCACAAAAACCCTGCGAGCTGGGCAGTTGAAGTGATTTGCCCAAAGTGACCCATCTAGTCAGAGACAAAAGTGAGATTCAATCCCAGGTCTGCCTACATGGGGAAGACAGTTTGGCCTCAAGGCTGGTGTTTTGAACATGTGGGAGCCAACTCTGATTCAAAGAAGGAGGTGACATTGACCGCACACGCTTCATGTCGAGATCAGCCGCTTAGGGAAGTATAGAAGATGTCAAATTGGCAGGGAGGCGGCTAGACTGGGCTCCAAGTAACCAAAGAAATGTCACTGCTTCTCAGTGAGCTTCAAGGAGGCTCAGCATCGTGAAATCTCCAGCTCCAAGACACCAGCCCTTCCTTTCGCCTTGGGGAAATGTCAACCCCTTTAGTGGAATTATTCTTATGATTACTGTTATTATTATTATTTTAGGCTTTTACATGAATGTCGTTGCATGATCCCTCCCTGTAAATAAGCTTTTTCACATTCTCATGGGGAAACAGGAGGAAAAGAAACCCACTTACCAATTGCCAGGCTCCTGGGGTAGTTAGAGCAGCTTCCAGCAGGAAGACGTGCTCCAAGTACCTATGTAAACTGATCATCTCAAGTTACCTTGGTATTCATCTATAGAATTTTTCAATTATGTATGACTAATTTTGCACAAAGTTATTATTTAAAGCAATTTGTCTCTGTGTGAGAGGCAACACCTTCCCCTTCCGGAAAGGTGGGCGGGGAGACCGTCATAACCCGCCATGCTGCAGCTTGAGTTATTAAGCGGTTACAGGAGTTCAAAAGAGAAAAATAATGAACAGGTAAGTCATCACATGTAAAAATCCCTTCTCTATATTATCAAAATACAAATTAATTATAGATAAGATCAAACGACTTCTCTTTAATGTATGGTTTTCCCAGAGAAGGTAATGAAAACAGTGCACTTACTTGCCTGTGGGAGGGGAGTTGAGGGATATATAGAGGGATCTTTTATTAACGTTGGCGGCGTTTCATTGGAGACACGGTGCCTGTGAAGGCTGCAGAAGGGGCCTCTGGAGAGTTCTGGGACATGCAAATAAAACCTGCTTTATGGCACTAGGTGCTAACTCCCGTATGATCTCATCCCCATAGGGTCCCTCTCCAGGTAATGGTAAAACCACCGTGTACAATTACCCCGCCAGCCTGTGCAATCAACAGGTTGAGAAGCCGGCAGCCCACAGCCTTGCCAGTGGAGCTTGGCAAAGACCAAGCAATTGCGGTCATGGCCTTCACAGGGCTTTCATTCTTGATTTTCCAAGCAAGGACCACAGCTGAAGTAAGGCCATGATTCACCTTCCTTTGGGGGTGGGGGGGTGGGGGGGCGGAAAGAAGGAGAAGGGAAAAGAGGATCTCCTCCTCTCTACCTTCCCAGCCCCAGCCCCTTCCCAGTTGTATGTAATGCTAATATTCACATGACAGCAAACATTTTCAAAATAATAGTCCTATATACTTAAGGTTAATCAGAACGGGCGCCATCCAACTTGCAAAGGTAGCAATTTTCCTTCATTAAAGCCAAATCAAGAAAGAGAACTTTGGGATTCCTTAGGGCTAATTACAAGGTGTTAATAATAACAATATAATGGCAGCAATTTTCCAGCTTTGCTCAAACCCATAATCTGCTTGAGTGCCTTATAGGATTGTCTGTGAGTTTATATAAAGCCAAGTGTTAGTCCAAAAATGTTTTCAGTAATTTCATTTTTACATCATGTCTCTCCCGAGTGTTTACGATGATGTGGTAATTGTTGGTGAAGAAGGTTCTCTCTGGGCGAAGAGCAAGTCGCAACTTGACACTTCACAGGACCTTTCTTTTGTTTCTCTTGCAGTGCATCCTGGGAAGGAGTGATGGGTCAGCAAACAAACCTGGTCACTTCTGAAAGCTCAGAAACTAAGGAAGCGTGGATGTTGACATGTCCCCATGTGGTCACTCAGACTGCTCCCTCTACTATGACCCTGTGAAAGAAATAAAAAGCCAACAATATCTTTGGAAATTAATGAGCAGGCAAGATTTAGGCAGCCGTCTGTGGGCAGGCGGGGACATGCCCCAATGTCTCAATGCTATGGGATTTCCTCAAAGCCCGTCCGCAGTTGGTGGGGACTGGCTGCTCCACAAAGGTTAATAAATGCTCGGTTTACTCAATGTGACCATTTGTTTCACTATGCCATTCTCCTTATTCACTGGGTGCACAAGACCTTTCTTCTTAGGATTTTGACTCCACAGACATGGGATCATTCATCCTAAAACTCAAAAAGCCAGGAAGATAAGTTGGTGAGGGCTGCTTTATTGTTTCCTTCTATTCACTTATTGGTCTCCTCTCAGTACCAGTGGAATGACCACATACTCATTTAGAAGAGAAAAACCTTTTAAAGGCCAAGAAATTTAGCCTCTCACTCATTTTCTTTCTCTCTTTAGACTGCCTAGGGGGGAATTCTTCTAACTTTTGGACAGGAAAGAACTAAATGGTCTGGTATTGCCAAGTTGGGGGTCTGAAGCCAGTTTTTTACAACCAGTTTCTAAATCTGATCATAAAAGTTGCTGATGGAAAAGCTGAAACAATATGAACTCCGTGTGGTTTTTGTTGACTGTGTAAGGATGCCCAGGAGACACATCAAACCAAAGAAATGATAATTTGTCCTAATTGGGTTAGAACCACAGATAAACAGGCACCATCTGGAGTGCTGTTCTTTTGAGAGATTACGAGCAGGGACAGTAGGATCTCCACTATTTTGGAATGTATGACTTTCTTCTCTCTTGGTCCTCCAGGGTGGAGAGCCTGCAGGCAAGATGCGGGAAAAAATAGGGAGGCTGCTGAGTTTCAAAGTCCTCCTCTAGAAATTGGACATTAATTCTACGCTAAGGGGTCCTTCTGCGATTCAATGAGATCATCTAAAGGTGCACAATTGGAACCATGAAAACTCAACACCCTTAAATATCAGAGAGGTCTTCTTGCCCCGCGCAATCAGGTCGAGCTAGGGCTGCTGGGAGAACCATGGTCCAGAGAGAGGAACAGACTTGCTCAAGGTCATCATTTACACATTAGAAGAAAACGGAGAGAATTTTTTTCTCCAGGTCTAGAACATCCCTGGTTTGTTTTAAGAGTCTCTAAGGGAAACACACAAGCTTGAGAGGCCGCAGAGATGCCTGAGAGGGGAATGTTGAGTAATCCATCGCCCGCGGCAGTTCAGAGAGCTAAATACACAGAGCTTCAGAAAAGGAGTTGTCCAATCTGGGCAGACACTGTTAGTTACCTCCCAACAGCCATGCCTTGTCTTCTTTATTAACAGAACCTTAATTTTGTTTGAGTAGCAATATGTCCATCCCCAGGGGATGAATCACAAATGGTCTAGGTCAAGAGTCAGCAAACTATTGACCAGACTTGACAGGTCAAATTTGGCCCACTGCCTGTTTTTGTACAGCCTGTGAGCTAAAAATGTTTTTCATATTTTGAAAAGGTTGGAAAAAATCAAAAGAAGAATAATTGTGAAATTAATGTGAAAACTACATGAAATTCAAATTGCAATATCCCCAATGTTTTATTGGATAGGGTGACCAACTGTCCTGGTTTGCCAGGGAACAAGAGGGTTTCCTGAACTCTGGACTATTGGTGCTAAAAGCAGGAAGGCTTCCAGCAAATCAACATGAGCTGGTCGTCGTGACCTCTATGGTTCCCAGATACAATACAGGATGTCCAGCTAAATTTGAAGTTCAGATAAAAAAATGAATATTTTTTTAGTGTAAGTGTGCCCCAGATATTGTATGGAACATAGTTATACTCAAAAAAGCATTTGTTGCTTACATGAACTTTAAATTTGATGCACCATCCTATATTTTTGTTGGATAAATCTGATAGCCCTGGCCACACCTATTTATTTACATATTTTCTATGGCTGCTTTCTTGCTACAGCAGCAGAGTGAGTAGCTGCAACAAAAATTATGTGGCCCACATAGTCCAAAATATTTACTATCTGGCCCTTTACAGAAAAGCTTTGCTGACCCCTGGTCTAAGCCAATCATGGTAACTTAATTCCCTTTTGCCGGTAGTTACATACCAAGGTGACCATGTGACCAATGAGAGAAAAGAAAAGATCCGCTGGGTACTTCCAGGAAAGATTTCAGCCCTGACAACAGGTAAAAGCAGTTCACAAAAAAACTTCTTTACATATTGTTCTCCTTCTTTCTTTCCAGCTTGGGAGGCTGGCATATAAGAATGTGATGCTTGGGGTTGGAGTAACCATCTTGTGGCGTGAGGAAAACTCTGTCCACCCACCAAGGATGGGGTAGCAGATGGAACCTGGTGCCTCCCAGGGACAGCCTCCTCCTAGTCAGAGATTTTTTTTTTTTTTTCATTGGCACCTGAGCTAACAACTGTGGCCAATCTTTTTTTTTTTTTCTGCTTTATCTCCCCCAGTCCCCCCGGTACATAGTTGTATATCTTAGTTGCAGTTCCTTCCAGTTGTGACATGTGGGATGCCACCTCAATGTGGCCTGATGAGCGGTGCCATGTCCGCACCCAGGATCCAAACCGGTGAAACCCTGGGCCGCCGCAGTGGGGCTGGCCCCCTAGTCAGAGATTTTTAACCTGAGAGTTTGTGAAGTTGGCTGGGAAAAAAAGTTACATCATTTTCGTAAACTTCTAACTGAAATTTGGTATTTTCTTTAATGAGGAACATACGCAACAATCTACAGTAGCATTAGCAGTACCTGGAACTTTCTCACTGTATTGTCCATTCTCTGACCCCCAAAGATTCACCTCCATCCCACATGCATTCATTCAACCCATCCCAACATCTCCAAATGGCTCAACCCATTACAGAATCGACTCAAAGTTCAAAATCTCATCTCAATATTATCAGCTCAGAAGTCTCATCTAAATCAGGTAAAGGTAGACTACTGGTATGATCTATCCTGGGACAAGATTCTTCTCCACTTCTGGAACTGTGAAACTAGAAAACAAGTTATCTGTTCCCAAAATGCAATGATGGGACAGGCATAGACCATTATAGACTTTTCTACTCCAAATGGGAGAAAATGGAAGAGAAAAAGGAGTCACCAGTCCCAGGCAATTTTGAAATCTAGCTAGGAATACATTAGGTTTCAAGGTCTGCAAAGAATCCCCTATAGTTCATGGCTCTGCCCTCTGAACTTTGTGATTCTGCTTTCAGAATTACTTTTCCTTTTTCTTGAAGAGTGACAAGTATTTACAACTGAGCAGTTTTATCAGACTATATCCTGCCTCTAGAATTTTGGGAGTCTGACAGCCTTCTTTCATTTCATCCTTGCACTGCCAGTCCGAGATGGCAGTGTTTCTGCTGATACAAAATTTTCAAGACCCCTGTGGGTCTCCTGTGTATTTCACAGGGACTTACTCCATTAGACAAGAGGCTCCTTCAAAGATCCTTCTTGGATAATTTGATCTTTATTCCTGGCTTCTGCTGTGATAGTTCAGGGGGTCCATGAATCACACACTTATTCTTTTCAAAGACCACTCTGTACGACTGTATATGCTGATAGTTTGATACTTCAGAGGCACTAGCAAAAGGCTGGACATATCCTTGACTTTCTCTTCAGAGCATGTTTTCCTGACAGCAAATCTAATTTTAGCATCTTTGGCAGTGTCTTTTGGCATCTAGAAAAGCTGAGAATTTCCCAAATCATCAAGTCTTGGTTTCTTTTTTGCTTAACAGTTCTTCCCTTAATCTATCTGTTTCCTCCCACATTTTACTATAAGCAGCAAGGAGAAACCAAGACACGCCTTCAACAATTTACAAGGAAATCTCCTCAGCTAAATATTGAAATTCATCACTTACTCGTTCGGCTTTCCACAGAAATGTAGGATGCAATTCTAAGCTTTCTGCCACTAATTGACAAGACTCCCCTTTCCTCTAGTTTCCAGTAATATGTTTCTCATTTCTCCCCGAGACCTCACCCAAAGTGCCTTTATCATCTACATTTCTACCAACTATCTGTTTATGATGATCTAAATATTCCTAAGACAATCTAGTTTTTCTCTACCATGCTCTTCACTTCCTTCTGAGTCCCTCTTAATGTCCATATTTCTACTTACAGCCTTTCCAAGGCAATCTAGGCTTTTTCTAAAACTTCTCTTAGCCTCTGCCACTGCCCAGTCCCAAAGCCACTTTTTTAGACATTTTTACAGCAGAACCCCACTTCCAGGACTAAAATTTGTATCCGTTTTCTACTGATACTGTAACAAATTATCACAAACTTAATGGATTAAAATAACACAAATCTTACAGTTCTGGAGGTTAGAAATCCAAAATGGGTCAGCAGAACTGTACTATTGAAGGTTCTAGAAGAGAATATAGCTCCTTGCTTTGTCCAGCTTCCAGAGGCTGCTACATTCCTCGGCCTGTGATCCTAAGAACTTCTTACTGAAAAAAAAAAAAAATTAAAAGCTAAAATGAAATGCATATAAATACAAAGAATATTAATTATATTGAAATAGAGTCACCAATATATTATATCAGATTGCCACAGTGTAAAAAAGGTCAAGAATGCCAGTGTGAAGTGTACAATAAATATCTTTATGATTTAAGCCACTTGTAGTCAATTTTTCTGTTACTTGCAGCCAAAGGCAATCCTAAATGTACACAGCTACAGGTTTCCTGACTCACAGGTCAGTATAGACCCTCCATCTGGTTTTCTGGGTGTGGATCTGGAACTCATAACAGCCCAGTTCATGAAGCTGGGATATCTCATTTTATTTAGCCAAGCCCATTATACTATGTGATTACATGACATAATTATTATCTTTCTGTGTGTGCATGCATGTTCGTGTGTGTGTGTGTATGGTAAATGGTTCATACATCCATTTCTTTATTCTACAAATATTTCTTAATGCCTGGTTTGCACCAGGACTACAAAATCCAGACCTTCCAGCAGACTGGTTCCTTCTGGTTACACGTTCCTTCCTCCAGCCGGTCTTCCTCACCACCCTTGCTAAATTAGTCCCCTCCTCCATTCCTGTGTCATCATTTATCATAACTTCCTGTTTTACGTTATTTACAGACCTTAACTCTCTCTGAAATAAATCTATCCGTTTATTTGGTGACATTCCCCCACCAGAATATAAGCTCTAAGACAACAAGGACCCTGTCTTGTTCACCATCAGTGCCAACATCTGGGACCTACACATTGTAGGAACTCGACACATTTGTGGAATGAATGAAAAGCAATGTTCCTACCCTCAAAGGACTCACAGTCTAGGAGGGAAGTCAAACAAATCCTTGTACTACAGTCGGAGAAATTAACACAGGGCCCTGGGAGGGAGATGTACAGAAGACGGGGGACGATAGTCTTCCAGGGGAGAGGTGAGCCTTGAAGCTGAGTTATTCACGAGTGCCGAGGAAGAAGGGGCCGAGGGAACAGCATAAGTAAAGGCATTCAGGCGCAGAAGAACACAGTGGTTCACGGAGAACAGGACCTAGACAGTGAACTGGGTGAGATGATGCTGAAAAAGTAAGTTGAAATTAGGTTAGGTTAGGTTAGGGTCACCAACTCCAATACCTACAAGGATCCAGACGGGCAGCATAAATGAACAAAGGGCACCAGGTGTAAAGTGGTAAATAACATCTATATCCAGCACAGTGTCAGTGGACAAGGCTAATCAGCTCCAGCGAATTGTTACCATGCAGGAATGCTGGCCCAATTTTGCTAGATCTTAGAATTTTTTCAAACGAAGCTGGAAATCCAAACTTTTGGGTAACGTCTTCCAATATGTAAATATTGGGAACTGATTCATATCTTAAATATCTTCTAGGCCAACATTATGCACACCAAACAAAAACTGTCTGTTGGAAGATGCAGGCCTGGGCCACCTGTTTTCACCATCTCTGATCATTGTAAAGGATTGAGAATTTACACTTGGTTCTGTAGGTAAATAGCGAGGCATTGGCCATCTTAAACTGGGCTGTGATATCATCAGATTTGAATACCAGGAAGATCATTTTAGAGCTGTATGGAGGATAGATTGGAAGAGGAGCCCAAAGACCAGCTAGGAAGGATTACAATAGTCCAGATCAGGAAAGCAGAACTCTGATAATGGCATTAGAAATGGAAAGAAGAGAATTACTATGAAGCACATCTAGGAGGCAGAATAAGCAGAAGTTGTGTTTCTCCTCCTGGAATGTGAGTCCCACGAGGACAAGCTCTTGTTCTGCCTTGTTCTCTACTGGATCCCTGATACCTAGAAATGGGTGCTCCACAAGCACTTGTCGGTCTCGTGGATGCTTCTGCTCCAGGTGATCAGATGGATGTTGGGGCCAATTAGTGAGACGAAAATGCTGGGGAGAGAAGATGATGAGCTCACCAGCCAGAGATGCCCAGGAGACCTCTGGATAAATCAGAAGAGAGATCAGATCTGACTAGACATTTGCCTTTGAATCCCATGGTTGTGGGTGATATCGTCTTCCTTTCTAGTCTTTCTGGAACTTGGGGGCTGCCAGGCAGGAATACGACCAAAGCTCATTCTTCTCCCAGAGCTGGTGGAGACATAGTGACGGGCTGAGCACTGTCAACAGCATCAGGATGGAGCTCCCCGGCTAAGGGCACCAGCAATGTTTCCATCAGACCCCACCAACTAACATATTCTCTACTCCACTGCACTTGACTCAATGCAAGTCTTACAACTCTTTCTTACTTAGAACCAGTGCTGGAGGGACTGTCTTGCCCTGACTGATATTTCCCAAAGACCAGAACTATGTAAACGTAAGGTGAATTGAGAATTGCCCTCTAATCAACCTGCAAACATTTAATAAACACCTATAATGGGCAAAACACTGTGAAAGGCCCCAGGACCCAAAGTGCTGCAAGGCAGCTGTGTTGTCATGGCCAGGAAGGGGAACACATTCATTTAAATGCCTGCCTTCTGCAAACTGGACCCAGAGCTAGGCACTCTACGCACATCCGTAAAGGACAACAACCCTGCATAATTCCTATCATCCGTGTTTTCCAGGAAAGAGAACTGAGCTTTGGGGAGATTCAGAAACTTACTGAAGGTCACTTAAATAGGTAGCTGCCGAGATTTGAACCTACATCTGCTTTACTCCAAATCCTTGGCGTCCTGCTACACTCTGCTTCTTCCCATCCATGGCATCTTCTAACTTAGGTGTACTGTCCTCTGGGGTCTGTGATCAAAGCGTGTCAGTTTTTAGGCATTATTTCTCCTCTCTGGCCTCTTTCTCCCCTATTAGACTTGATCACAATCCTTTTCTTCCCAATAAACTCATGATCCCGACATTGATTTATGCTCACTTTGTAGGAGTAGCTGGCGCATGAAGCCATCACTGCTAAAAGCCTTCTTTAAATGTCTCTTCCCGTCATGGGGCTTCGGGAGGAAAATAGCAGAGGTGGTGCCCACCTCATCCGCCTCCCAGCCCCTGACTCAGACCATCCCCGAATCACTGACGTCAACACCAGAAGCTCTAAGAAGTTCACCCACGTTAGCACCAGGAATGGAAATCAAAGGTAGCTATTTTTGGACCCAACTTCAATCACTTTCCCTTGGAACCACCTCAAGGCCAAGAGAGCAAATAATTTAATATGATTAGATTGAAACAATCCCAGAAATTGGTCTGTTTATACACCTTGGCACCATTTTTGACAAAGGTATGAGAGTAATCGAAATAAATGGACCTGGCCGAGTGGGTGTGAAGTGTTCCATTTACTTGAGCTTGGAATGCCAGCCCAGGGTGGGGGACAAAGGCTCCTTGCTGAGAAGAAACTGCAAAGGAAAATCTGGAGTGGGCAGAAGTGACAAGCCCCCACCACACTCTTCCCTCACCTGCTCTGAATCTGATTTGGATGCAGAGGCCTGGAACCTGGTGGAGCCGCCTCCAAGATCTGGGCAATGGATGTGCTCCCTACTTGGTAGGTATTTTCTGGCTTTTTTGCTCACAGTGACTGCATCCCCACTGACCTCTCAAATCTCTTCTCATCTCCCCCTTCCCTGCCTCCAGGGTCACTGAGTGCATGGGGCCTCAGGAAGATTCAAGAGGGATTCTTCTGGGGATGGCCCCCACGCCTTTATGGTTAAGTTCTTGTGCTCCACTTTGGTGGAGCGGGGTTTCCCCAGTTTGGATCCTGGGCACAGACATGGCACCTCTCATCAGGCCATGCTGAGGCGGCATCCCACGTAGCACAACCAGAGGCACTCACAACTAGAATTTACAACTATGTACTGGGGGGGCTTTGGGGAGAAGAAGAAGAAGAAGAAGAAAAAAAAAGGTTGGTTGGCAACAGACGTTAGCTCAGGAGCCAATCTTTGAAAAAGAAAAAAAGTGGGAAGATTCTTCTTTTCTGCTCCTGGTGCAGCTGCCACAGCTCTCGGCTCCACATCTCCAGCTTGGACCACTGTCATGACTTCCTCATCACAGCCCCACATGCCTCTCCCTTCCAATCCACCCCTCCCCAGAGAAATCATCTTCCCTCTGCTAAAGGCCAAGCTCCTTCCTCGTGGATCTGTGTACTCAAGCCCAGGAGCATCGTTAAGACCTGGGGGTTGGGAGCCCGTGGGCGTTGAAGATGCATTGAGACTCCTGCCTGTGTGTCTAGCCTGGGTCCCACGGTTCTCCAACCCCGCCCATCTCCCCATCAGAACCTGAACTCCACACTGAATGGTCTCTTGCGGTTCCCAGATGTGCCAGCCCTGTGCTCAGGCAGTCCCAGCTTTGTCTTGGAAGATGTTTAAAAGTACAGTAAAACTGGGGCCGTCTCCGTGGCCGAGTGGTTAAGTTCACACGCTCCGCTGCAGTAGCCCAGGGTTCGGATCCTGGGTGTGGACATGGCACCACTCATCAGGCCACGTTGAGGCGGCGTCCCACATCCTACAACTAGAAGGACCTGCAACTAAGATATACAACTGTGTACAGGGGGGGTTTGGGGAGATAAAGCAGAAAAAAGAAAAAAAAAAGTACAGTAAAACCATGAAGAATAATAGGAACATCCCATACTCCATAACCTTTTGTATTTGCTTTCAGTCTTTTTCTTAAAATAAATAAATCATTCCAGATAAAACTAAATTCCCCTTAACCATCTACCACCCATTTCAATCTCTTCTTTCCCCCCAAGAAGCAAAAATGAGCCTTCCAGTTCACTTTTTAAATAATCACATACATGTGTATATAAATAGAATCCATTGCCACATACACATATATACAAGTGGTGTATTTTGTGTATTTGTAATGTGTATTTATGAAGTCATTTGCATGCATATCATCCAAAGTTTAAGACACAAAATGATAGAGAGAGGTGAGGAAGTCTTCCTCCCACTCTGTCCCCAGGCAGCCAGCGCCCTGAGACCATCTACCTGCCACTTCCTTTTTGCCTGGACTCCTCAGCCTCCTTTAGAGCCGCCTCATCTGTCCAGCCCCCTGTGATATTTCCCTCATTACCCAGCTGACTCTCAGCCCCTCCTGAGTGTCCACACAGCACCCTGGACCCTGTGCAGACTTCCGCCCAGCCCCCATCACCCACACCGCTGTCTGGCAATGGAGACCGGCCGACAGCTGAACGCAGCGTAGGAAGCCGGAGCCTCTCCCAGCCAGGCCTCTACCCTGCCTCTAACTGAGCTCTTTCTGACACTGGCTTCCAACCCGTTTGCGAAAAGCCATTCATTAGTCTTAGCAAATTGCTTTGCTGACACTTTCTGAGTGTATCTCAAATCCAAATGGCATATGTCTGTATTTGTGCCTTCATTAAATCTGGATCAAAGATTAGTTTAATCCAGGCAAAGTTTTTGAGCTCAACTTGCAGCAAGCAAAGAAATCATTTTTAAGAAATTTGTTTGTGCTGCTGTTGCTGCCATCCAGGAACGAGCGGGCAGCCTCCACGGGGCACCCGTGGGAGTCTTTGCTGGAGATGGGACTTCTGGCATAAAAAACCTAGGGAACGTGTGAAAGTAAATCTCCTCCCGTCTCCCCCACCTCCTGGCCTCCTATGTTGCCCTGAATCTTGAGAGAGATTGATTTTCCACTCTAATGCCAAAAGAGAAAAAAATATCCCTTTATATTAGATTTGCCAGAGCAGAATTTGGTACTGTTGCCATGACTCCTTCGGTTAATGAGAATTGTTACTCGATCCAATGCAGCAACTTTTCATGCGCATCTACCATGTGCCACATGCTGAGACGCATCCCTCATAACAACCTGAGGACAATATTATTATTATCATGGTTGTTATTATTACTATTACCGTGACTAGAGACCGACTGGTGTAGTCAAAAGAGTCTGGACCAATCTCTTCTTGTCTGTGCCTCTCCACGTCCTCCCCGGGGACAGACAACTGTGGGCATCACTCAGGTGGGCACACCCAGCCTTGTTCTCCTTTCTGGTCACAGCACCTTGATGTTCCTTTTGAACACTCTTGTCCACCTGCAGTCCACCGCTTTGGGTTGCAAGAGTGACTCAGGCCTGTCCAATCAGAGAACATATTATAATTACATATATAGAGAATCTATAATGCAATATGTAATATTATATATATAATTACCAGGGGCGAGAATTCTAGCCCTTCCCCTGGAAGCTTGGGCTCCTTCCTAGCCCGGCACAAGGGCTCACGTTGGGCCAATCCGGGCCGAGTGAGCCCATCTCCCACCTTCTCAGTGTCTGTTCCGGAAGCCGAACAGCTTGCTCAATCTCCATTCCTGCCACTGAGCTGCTGACTGTGGCAGTCACCTGGTGAGTGACTCTGATTTTCAATTCCCCTTTCTAAGAAAAAAACAAATAAAATGGAGGAAATAATCTCTCACCTGCAGCTGCCTAAGGCATCTGAGGCTCACTGTTAGCTGCCAGAGGCGTCGACTTTGTCAGACTCAGAACCCTGTTCCTAGCTTGATCCCCCTTAACCTCCTGAGGCCTGGAGGAAGCTCATGGCGGGACTGAGGCAAGGCGGGCACCCTAATGGGGCTGGAGTTTATTGGTGAGAAAGCGGGCCAAAGGTCAGGCTTTGTGTATGTCAGGGTACCAGACAAACAACCCCAGAGGCCCCCAGGCATCCTAAGCAGTCTGCCGAAGGCAAATCCAACCTCCCTCGTGCTGGAATTCATGCATGAGTTGACTGTTTGTGCTCGTCCCGAACTTCACCGTGGAAGGGTTTTATGAAATGTGAGCTGACAGAGTCCTCTGTTGCCCTCGCAAAGGCCCGCCTCAGCTCACCCTAGAAATTAGCTCACGAGAAAATGCCTGAGTCAGCTCTCAGCTTCCTCCCGGGAGGAAGGGGCCTGGGATTCGAGGGTCGTCCACGCATTCGAAGTGATGGTGGAGGGGAGCAATTATCTGGTGAATCTGATTAATGTGGACAGCTGGGGCAGAAATCCTGGCTCTCTGCCTAACGTGCTGGAGTGAGGACATGGTGAGGATGAAATGGACGTCACACCTGGACACCTCAGAGTGTGTTCTTTCCCATGGCCCCGTGGGACTGTCTTTCCTGTACACAATTTCGTGGTGCACACTTGGCAGCTTCACCATCATTATCACTACGACCGAGAACCCCCCATGCCCCAGGCCCCGGGCTAGGCAATTTGCATTCATTACAGGATTTCCAGTCCTATTCCAAGCACACTGGGCAGGGAGGAACCGGCTCCCGCAGTCTCTGGATCAGGAAACTGAGGCCAACCCGCACTGCGAGCACGTCACAGAGTGCAGGTCTTTGTTTGGGGTTGCGCTTACACTGCGCTTTTATTTTGCTTTTTAAAAATCACGCACGCATAGGCTTTTTTTCCTCCTCCCCAAAGCCCCAGTACATAGTTATGTATTCTAGTTGTATGTCCTAAGGCTTTTTTTTTTTTAAGTATAAAAGTACGGCTCCCCCTCTCTCCCGACCTTCCTTCCAAAAATATGCTGTGTCTATACCAGCATCTATACATACATATATCCCCTTTTTTTACACAAATGGCAGCATTCTTTAAAAACTGCTCACCTCTTGCATTTTCAAAAATGTGTTAGGGGCCGGCCCCATGGCCGAGTGGTTAAGTTTGCACACTCCACTGCGGCGTCCCAGGGTTGCGCGGGTTTGGATCCACGGCACCGCTCGTCAGGCCACGTTGAGGTGGCATCCCACATGTCACAACTGGAAGGACCTGCAGCTAAGATATACAACTATGTACTGGGGGAATTTGGGGAGATAAAGCAGAAAAAAAAAAGTGTTAGTATTTGTCAAACCTGTGCAAAAGTAGACAGGATAACAATGCGAATTCCCATGTGTCCATGGGCGAGCTTCAACAAACACCTATTCCTGGCCCATCTTGTTTATACCTCCACCCACCCCCTGCCCCAGACTATTTTGAGGCAACTATTTGAACTCCAAATAGTTCAGGTTGCACATCTTAAAAATAAAGATTCTTTTTAAAGTGTACACGTAATACTATTATCATGCCTTTAAAACACAGCAAGTCCTTAATATGTCTTGGCGATAACGGTAGAGCCCGTGCACCTCCCGTGAAGCTGCTCATCCATATGGAGCCCACAGCGATCAGCTCGCTGTTGATCCCCGTAGGTCATGGCCAATTTTTGCTACTATTAAATTGAAGCATTTGAAATTATCAGTGTTTGACCATTTTTGACCCATAAAAATATCAATTTCATATGGTTCCATCCAATATAGGCAAGGTTCCAAAGAGTACTCATGTACATACCCCATATAGCAGTTTGGTTATAAGAAAAATGCCTGAAAATAGAATATCCTTGCCAGGATACTAGCTCTTCTCCTGAGGACAAGGATCACCAAGGAACAAACAAAATAAAACTCCCAGCACTCTTTGCCTTGGCTTAATCCGTCTTCCTGCTTCCAAACTCTCTCCATGTCCAGTCAATCTGTCTGTCAATGTGATCGTCTCTACAGTACAAATCTGATTCTGTCACCTCCCTGCTTTACACCTTCCATGGCTCCTCATTTCCCTCAGATTAAAAAACCAAATCTCCTTAACCTGGCATTCAAGGACGTTCACAACCTGGTCCAACCTGTCTTTCTAGACTATTCTAGCCACTTCCCTATATTTCAGCCATACCAGTTGACTCACCATTGCTTAAATAAACAAACCTTACTTTAAAATGTTTGCGCCTTTGCCCAGGCTGTTCCATCTACTTAAAATGCCCTTCCCCTAGTCTTTGCCTGGAAAACTCCTATTCACCCTTCAAGACTCAACTCCACTGTGCCTTCCTCTGTGAAACCTGTTCTGAACTTCCAGGCAGAGTCAGGCCCGCTCCCCTCTGTGTGTCACTCTATGTTCAAGAGATGACTCTGCATTAGCTCCTAGGTTTGCAGGTCTGTGATATCCACTAGAGCATTTATCTCTCTCCTAAACAGCAGATCCATACACCCAACACTTCTGTAAGAAGGTGGCGTATATCTGCAAGCCAAAAGATGAAGAGTTGTGTGTCCTGGATTCAAAGAGGAAATTGTGGAAATGTCATTGAACTGTTTCTTCGAGGGGTGTATGGGTTGGCAGTTATTAAGAACATCCTCATTCCCTCAGGATGGGCGCCCAGAGGGCTAGGACGCAGGGCCAGGCAGGAGCTCATCGAGGAGTGTTGGTTGGTTGAGTTTTGTTACTCAGTTGGCTGTTTGCGCCTTTCGCCATTCTCTGCTCTGTATCTCAATATCTCTCCCTAGTAATCCAGTCCCTGACTACCTACCATTCTGCTTTCCTGCATTCCTTCTTTTTCGTTATTCTTTAAATCACAGTATGACACTTGTTAACAGGAAAAGAACACTATCAATTGCCTAAGAGACCACTCAGAGGTGACTACTTAAATAAAGACATATCCATGCCACGGAGTTCAGTGTAGCCATTAAAAAGAATCAGGCAGCATGAAGCTCCAAATAAGTGTGTGTAGTATGATACTATTGTGTTAACACACACACACATAAGGTATCCGTTTTTATTATGCTTTGAATTTTTTGAAGATAACACAGAAAACACTGTCAAGCATATTTAGCTCTGGAGAATAGGAATGGTGGTTGTGAAGGGAGGAAAACTATCTTTCATTTAACACTCTTTGGGTATACACTTTGGCTGTATGGGGAAAAGTACAATATATTTATCGCACTTTTTTTTTTTAAAGGAATATTAGCCCTGAGCTAATTGCTGCCAGTCCTCCTCTTTTTGCTGAGGAAGGCTGACCCTGAGCTAACATCCATGCCCATCTTCCTCTACTTTATATGTAGGACGCCTGCCACAGCATGGCTTGCCAAGCGTTGCCATGTCCGCACCCGGGATCCGAACTATGAACCCAGGGCCGCCGAAGCGGAACGTGCGCACTTAACCGCTGTGCCACTGGCCCGGCCCCCTATTGTACTAACTTTTGAAAGCATAGAAAAATAAAAAGAAGGTAATAAAAATCTTCGGTAATTCCACTATTGATTGCCACCGTTAATATTTTGACAAATATCTTTCCAGACTTTTTCCTGGGTTTATATATTTTACTGAAATAATGAGCTTGCCCTGCCGTAACTTGCATTTTTCAATTACAAATGGCATGTGGATATCTTCCTATGTCACTCTGTGTTCTTCCACGGCATCGTTTTTATTGGCTGCTAAGGATTCCATAGTTTCTTTCCTCCCTCCCTCCCTCGTTCCTGCCCCCCTCCCTCCAAAGCTTTCAGCCTTTATTCTTTCCCATATCTGTGACAATCTCTGAGTCTAGCTGCAGGCGGTACAGTCAGCTGACACACAAGGATGCTACTTGTAATCAGAAGAGTGTACCTTATGTGCTCGCACGCACACAAGCTCCCAAACCCCTCCCTGAACGAAGGGCTCAGTAACCACCCCCGTTTCATAAGGAAGCGTTGCCATGAGCACTCGTGGAGTACTGGGTTTCAGGGGGTTTACAGGGCTGACCGTGGAATTTTGCAGCCTGGCTGGACCAGGAGGTTTGTGAACAGTGTTCACCATGCAAACATAAGGAGTATCCTGAAAATACCAAATGACGTTCAATCCATGAAAATCAGGGGGTCACTCCTGCTCTTCTGTTCAAAAATTAGCACCTCAGAAGAAGGGTTCTCATAGTTGAGAGGAAGACCTCCACCTCTGCAGGCTTCTAAAAGGCTTGGGAAGCCTCAGTAGGAGAAGAGAGTTAGCGTTTCTCTCTATGGATCTTCGGGAAAACCACAGCTTCAGAAGCTATAGAAGGATGGAGTCAGAAGAAAGAAAGGGGGGAACCCACGGGCAGGGGGTGGTCGGCTAGGATTAGCCAGGTATCGGACCCTTCCAGGTCTGCTGCCAGAGGCACATGAGCTTCTAAAACGGCCCAAGTCTTGATATCAAGCCCACAGAAAAGGGTGAGTCACATGACAGACACAAGCCTGAGGGTCTGGGGAGACAGCCCTGTTCACAGGATCCGCCAGTTCTTCAGGTGGAGTCTGGAACGTAAGTATGTTGATCCTTTAACCTCTTCCTTCGGCCTTCCA